AGGATGGTGCGTGCGTTGCGGGAGTGGCCCGCTAAGGCAAAGACCTCGGTGGCGTCGGTCCCCGCCGCCGACAGCAGGAAGTCGGGCAAGCCCGGGTGCAGGTCGAGGTAGTCTGTCGCGTCGTACACCCGGCCCGCGATCGCGAAAATCACGCGACGAACGCCCGCGCCGCGTGCTAGATGCATCCACGAGCGTCCAAACTCAAAGTAATGCTCGCGCCACGAGCGGTCTGCCGGCGGGGACGGGCAGTCGCCGTCGAACGCGCATTCCACCACCGGCGCGAATCGATCGGCGAAGCGCGGGCGCCACAGCTCGTCGGAGGCGGCGGCGGAGTACAGCGCCAGGCAGGCTGCGCCGACGACGACCGCATCGCACTCTGGAAGCATCTGCAGCACACGGTGCAGCACGTCGGCAGGGAGGTCCAGCAGCGAATCAGGGGGATCGTCCGTCGCGGGCTCGTCGTTCGCGGACATCCTATGATCTAGCCGCGCGCGGCGCGACCTCTCAGGGTTCCCCTTCCCCGGACATCCTTAGTACCCGTAGATCTAGCCAAGCCAACCGAACCTCTCAGGGTTCCTGCTGCGACCCCCCCCCCCCCCCCCCCGGCCGGACAGTCCAGCACAGGGTAGACCTATGTTGCACGACCACCCATACCGCGCTGGTGTCGAGTCCGGTGTTCTTCGCCTTCCTACCTCCTACCTACCTACGACTGCGCCAAAACGCCCTACCTCCTACCTACTCGAGTATGCGGGCGCCAACCGCCAGGCTCCGTGCCCCACCAACCACCTACACAACAAGAGAGAGAGAGAGAGAGAGAGAGAGAGAGAGAGAGAGAGAGAGAGAGAGAGAGAGAGAGAGAGAGAGAGAGAGAGAGAGAGAGAGAGAGAGAGAGAGAGAGAGAGAGAGAGAGAGAGAGATATTTACCGATCGGCTCACACATCATTTGGGGCCTGGACCCCTGTGCACGCTCGCGGCACACGCGCACAGAGGGGTGCCCGGACCCAAGCGAGAGCGGGGCCCGTACCGAGGGGGAGCGCCCCTATCCCGTGCTCCCG